ATTGTTTTAAAATCAATTTAAATTTATTTAAAAATAAGGAAAATTATAAAAACRTCCTTGGGTTTTCTATCAATCCTATGAAACTCCCCAGTGTTTTGACCTTAACAAAAACCTCCTCTATTGTTTTGAAAAAAGGTGCAAATACCTTCCTTTAGTCAGCATTCCAAATAAAAAATGTTAATGTAATGCATTAGTTTTACTTCACTTCAGCCTTTTTACATTTTTCCAAGGAGAGTAAGGAGAATTTATTCTTTGAAAGTTGTCTAGCAAAATAGGTTATTGGAGGGTAAAGTTGAAACTTTAAATTATGTATGATAATGCATTGACAATGATAAGGGTATTTTTTAAATTAGTAAAAATTGAATTTATTTAAGTATATTAAGTTTTTATTAAATTTAAATTCCTTGTAAAAGTTAATTAACTATATAAATTTTTATTTTATAGTGGAACTTAAGTTGGTTTTAAATTAATAAAATTTAATTATAAAACTTATAATTGTTAGATAATTTTGTATTAGTTTTATATTAATTTTAAATTTATATTTGTTTTTAATTTATCTTATTCCTTTTATTAATTAAATTCTTTTTGTTATATTAATAAAATATTTTTATCATAACAATAATTAATAATTATTTTATTTTATTTAAGTAACTTACTAAATTATTTTTATTATTGTTAATTAGTTTTTATTCTTTTCAAATGGAATATAAATGGATTGCAATTTTAAATGGAAGTAGATTATTTAGTGAAATAATAATTAATTTTTACTGATAATTACATTTTAATGCAAATATATCTATTATATATATAGTTAAATTGAAATGGATATATATAAATAAATTTAATGAATTTATGCAATTTAATGGAGTAATTGAGATAGTGGCATGAGTTATTGAAGGAGAGCTAATGGCATAATTAACGAGGAGAGATTATTAAAAGAGTTAAGAGAGGGAGGGAGACCAGAAAAGAGACAAGTGTATTTCAGAATAAACCATAGAGCAAGAAAGTACCAGCTTGGCACATTGCATTTTAATATATAGATTTGGTCAGGTGGAGAGATTAGATTGTTTCTCTCTAGTCTGGACCATTTAATTTATTCTCTCTCTCTTCTCTCCTTTTCTTCTCTTCTTTTCTCTTTTCTTGTTGTCATTGGTGTGAAACTAGTGTGAATCGTACATAAAAACTTGGTATCAGAGCCTCAATGGTCAATCCATAAAACCCTCTATCTCTTCCACCCTTTTGTTTTGAAGAGAACTTATCAATTAATTGGGATTACAGGGAGAGAAGACAAAGAGCTCATCATTTTTCTGTGTAGGAGGCAATCATGCCTCCAGTGGTTGTTGAAGTTGCAATTTCAGTGGGTTGATCAAAGAGGGACTGTCAATAGACAGATAGGTCGTGCCTATTTTCTGAGGTGATTTATTGACTCTTTAAAGTAAGGAAGTGGATTCTAAACTTATTTGGTTGTCAAATAACAGGTATGCGTGAGAGAGGTTTTTTTTTTTTTTTTTTTTTGCTAGAAGTGTGTGACAGTTGTGATTTTGTTGCTGAAACCATGTGATAGGTATTTCAGCAACAATTGACCACTAGTAGTGTGTGGGTGCTAAGTTGTGTGTGGTATTGTTGATTAGAAACTTGATTTTTCCTAGTCTCATGGTGTAGGTAGGGTAAGGCTGGGTTGAGAGATGGTCTCTTTGAAAGATAGAGAAAGACTAGGAACTAGGGAGATTGGCTTTTGGGCAAAGGGTGCTAGGGTAAGGAGTCCAAAGCAAAGGGTGCTCGAGCGCTGAATGCTGAATATTGAATGAGTTTCAATACAAGGAGGATCTCTATTTATGGGGGAGATCCCGAGATCCTAAAAGGTAGGAGATAAAGGTACTTGTGACCTATCGGGAAAGGGAATATTTTATTTGCTGTCAATCATTAAGTGCACCATTGGGTTTTCGCCACGTGTCTCGTGAGGATCTTCCTGGGGATTGGCTTTCCTTCCGCTTAGGATCCCTCATTACTTACGTGTGCTACTACCTCTCGTACGCTTTATTTAGTTGACGTGGCGCTTAGTGACGTCACTGCCTGGCGGGCGATGTCTTGTTAGTCACACGTGGCGCCTTGCCACGTTTGTCCCTTTGGAGTCACACGCGTAGGTGTCATCTGGACGCGGTTCTTTAACAGGCCATGAGTTTATCGCACGTTCAAGCAGGTGTGGGGCCCTGTCACGGGTTTGGCCATGGTTTCCTTTGGCTCGGGCTACGAGTGGGCTTGCCAAGGGTGTGCGGTGAACCGTGAGTTTATCGCGGTTCTGCGATGTGTGTTGTGAGTTCATCATAGAACTTGTGGTGCATTGCGGGGTCATCGCAACTGGAAGGTTGACTATGGGCTGTTCGCATGCAACCTCGTGGTGTTGTGATAAAAGTCAGGTGTTATGATTTCCCCTGATTACTTAAATGTGCAATGATAACTATTAAACTAAATGGTGAGCCATGCGCCAAATTAGTGAAGGTTTTTTTGAGAGCCAATAAGGTGAAACATGTGAAAGATGATAAACCCTTTGTTGAATCTCAAGGTAGCATGCTATAGGTTACATGGGAGCTCACCACTCTTCCTTTTGGGTAAAATGCTATAGGTTGCAAGTGGGTGTACACTATTAAGTATTTACTAGATGGCAAGGTGGATTGGTTGAAAGCTAGGTTGGTTGCTAAGGGTTACTCATAGTTGTATGGAGTGGATTATACCGAAACCTTATCTCCTATTTCCAAGATTGGTTCCGTTTGTGTTCAGATATCTTTAGTAGCTATGCATGATTGGCCCCTGTTTTATCTAGACATAATAAATGCTTCTTACATGGTGATGTTCTCGAGGAGGTCTATATAGAGCAACTACCAAGGTTTGTTGTGCAGGGAGAGGATGGTAATGTGTATAGAGTATAGACTTAATTAGGTAATTCATGGGCTAAAATATTCTTTGCGTGCTTGGTTTAGTAGATTCAATGAAGTGGTAAAAGTGTTTTGGTATGGGGTAGTGTTAGGTTGACCACTTGGTATTTAGTTATGATTTTGAAGCAGGAAAGATCTTGTTGATAGTATGTGTAGATGACATTGTTATAACTAGCAATCATTGGTTGGGGATTGATAGATTGAAGGTCTTTTTGCAAGATCACTTCCGAACAAAAGATCTTGGCAAGTTGAATTGTTTCTTGGAATAAAAGTTGCAAGGTCGAAGCATGGTATTAATTTGTGCCAAAGAAAGTATGTTCTTGACTTATTAGAGGAGACATGGCTATGGGTGCCAAGTAGTTGAAACACCTACGGAGCTACATGTCAAGTTAAGCTTTGATGCAAGTGAGGAGTTTGATGACCCTAGATGGTATAGATGGTTAGTGGGTATGTTGAACCATCTGATACCTAACCAGATATCTCCTTTGCAGATAATGTGGTTAGCTAGTTTATGTGGAACTCTTGGGTTCCTCATTGTGATGTAGTCCTCAGAATTATGCGGTACTTGAAGGGAGCATTGGGTTGTGGGCTGTTGTACAAGTTGGAAGGAAGCCTTGAAATAGAAGGTTACATGGATGTAGATTAGGTTGTCTCAATATCTGATAGAAGATCCACTATAGTTGTACCCTGGAGGAAATTTGTTGACATGGAAGAGTAAGAAATAGACTATTGTTACAGGAAGCATTGATGAAGCTGAATATAGAGCCATGACACATTACTTGTGAATTTGTGTGGTTGAAAATCCTCCTAGAGGAGATTGGGTACTTGGTGAACAATCCTATGATCGTATTGTGACAACCAAGCCCCAGTCCACATTTCATCTGATCTAGTCTTTCATGAGAGAACAAAGCATATAGAGGTTGATTGTTACTTTGTAAGAGAGAAGGTCCTTAGTAGGTTGATCTCAAGACATCTAGCTTAAGGGTGAGTATTAGAGTCAGTAGTCAAGGGCTAAGGGGGTATTTTTGTCTTGTTTTACTAAAGGGTGTTTTGTTTTTTTCTTCTTGTTTCAGTTTAAGTAACATGTCCCATGCTTAAGTAGGGTTATATAGAAGTCTTCGTATGTTGATTAAAAACCTATAAATTCAGATCTGGTTGGCTGAATTTTCTTTCTCTCTAGTCTAGGCCATCTATTTTCTTTCTCTCTTCTTCTCTTCTCTTCTTTTTCTCTTTTCTTCTTGACCTAGGACTGAAACTAGTGTGATTCGAACATAGAAACAATATCTATTTAGAAAACAGGTTGTTATCTTCAAAGATTCTCCAAAAACTCATTATACATAAAAAGTTATAGATCACTGCCATTTTCAAGCTTTTGAAGATTATTTTCAATGGGAAAAAAAATAATTTCAAATTCATTATAAAACTTATCATCTAAAGCCAAAAATCGTCTCTATTGGTCTTAGGAAATAGGGTTATTAATGGATTGATGTCTTGAGATCTGCTTTATTTTTATGAATTGATCTTGTTTTGAAGCCTGAGAAGTCTTTCTGAATAGTATTTGTAGAGGAGATGGGCCGAATGGCCCATAGCCCACGGTTGTTATTTATCATTATACTTCTATTCTGTTTTAATGGGCCTTCCTGTTAACATCAGTTTTATTTTGTTTAATTAGCTGGCCGCCCAATTAAGGGCTTGTAATTTTTGAAAATTAATGATTAATTCTTAATGAAAGGATTAGGGGAAGGAGGAGCTGTACGAACAACACTTCTTCTCACCCTTCGCACAACCAAACTCTTCTTCTCTCTTCTCCTTCTTGCTGCTGCTATCTTCTTTGTTTTTCCCCTTTTTTTAATCAAATTTCTTATTCTTTTGGGACTGTTTTTCTTATTCTTTTGGGACTGCTGTTATCCATCCAAACAATCAAAATTTTATCTGCAGTATCATATTATACTTTACCAAAAGAAATCTTTTTATTTGATTCAATAATTTAGAAGCTGCTGCATACATGCATGTCACCATGAAATTGATCCTATCAGAAGATAATCTAGTTATGCTTGCACTTTGCAGGTGTGGGGGAGAAAGGTGTGACTACAGTCTGGTTGGGGTGGTGGAGCACTCTGGGACCATGAGAGGCGGCCATTATGTTGCCTATGTGAGAGGCAGAAAAGGCAGAGGGAAGACCAACAATGGAGACGGGGAGTACACATGGTACTATGCTAGTGATGCTTATGTACGGGAGGTTACCCTTGCAGAAGTCCTCCAGAGTGAGGCCTACATCTTATTCTATGAGAAACTATGATAAGTTTTTAGCAAAATTCTATCTACATTTACCGAGTTTTGGTGCAACTGAGCAACACACAAAGCGGAGAGAACAGAGAAGGGGCTGGAAGAGGGGGGAGGGGGGTTCTTTAGTGATACATAGAAAATTATTTATATTGGAGGGAATTTGTTATTATTATGGGTGATGAGAATACCCATTTTTTGATGTATCATGAATATGAAATTTTGCTTCTTCAAATTGATACATGGGAGATTCTTTGGTTTATGGTTCCCATCGCCATAGAGAAGAAAATCATGCCATTGAAGATAATGCGATGCCCCATAATATTTGGAGATGCATTGAGAACACTATTTCTTTGTTCCAGTGACCTTTCTTGTGTTATACCCATTAACATTCAAATAATTATTTGTGCCCTCTTATCTTACATGTCTCCATTTTCAGGGCCCTTTGATTACCCAAACATCCCCTCTTCGTGATTCTACGCAAGAAGACAAGAAGACACAAACATGGAAGGCTACCACTGTGTCTAGACACTGTCCGGATCAGGTACGCACACTGTTCATAAGGGCATTTTAACTTTAAAAATGATATAAAATAAGGAATGTCAAATGCATCCTAAAATCAGGTGTAGAATATTTATTGTGTTCATCTACTGTGATTACAATGCTGTGCCTACTAGATCGGGAGTCGTCTGGGCAGGTTTCAGCCAAGGTAAAAAAGTATTGATACGATACGAGTTTCGGCCGAATTGTATCAGCACTTAGAAACGGCCAAAACTCTTATTTATTTTTTTTTTTCAAACTTTGGTTTTTTGGGAAGCTTTGAGCATGCTTTTTATTATTAAAAAAAATTGGGGGTCCGAAACCCCTGAAAACAGGCGTTTCGGATTGTATAATTTTCAAAAGATACGGGACGTATCGTATTGACACTTTGAACCATGGTTTCAGCATTTCACTCCACTGAGATTAGATGCAAGAGAATGATCCAAACATAGCCTAGGCTGTAATGATGATGCCTTGAACAATTTTTTTGATTTGTTTAAAATAGATGGGAAGTGTGCTCAACTGATAAAAGTTGTCTTGGGTGCCGTTGGCATTTAAACCTGCAATGTTTTTGAGTTGAAATGCTGTTTATCCTTACGAACATCGCTATTTGTACTTGGATCCTGTTTGGTGAGAAATGCGTTTTTCATCCATGTCAGAACCACTTTAATGCCACACTAGTGTGATGTTAATATGTTTTAAACTTTGCTTCTTGAGACACCTAACACGTTTTATCCCAGAGCAGGAAACATCAAGTTGATATTTCTTGAGACACCTAACACGGATTAGCATGCCTACTGTTTTTATGATTGCTTAAACTAATGCTTTTGAACTGCCGTTGACCTGGATGGTTGGACCGTTCGGGCTGGGAACTGTCTAGGCAATCAGTTCTATTTTATCCCAAACCCAGTTCCTGGTCAAAAACTGTTGAATTGGTGAACAACTTGTTGATCTGAATTGTTAAACTGTCGATCTGTTTGACTTGTTCAACAGTTTTTAGCCATTTTTATAAATTTTAACTTTTCTTTTATTAAAATGGGCTGTTTATTTGAACCGGATGGTCGAACTGTTAATCTGGAAACTGGTAGCCAAAACGGTTCCGGTTCTGGGTCAGTTTTTAAAACATTGGTTTAAACTCAAAAACACTTATGTGGTGTCGCCGCAGTGTCTATTTGAAACTCTAACAATACCAAATAGCCCCAAAGTTAGTGGATGCAGTTCCCAATTTCCTGTTGACTTGGATCAAGTTCCACCTACCAGCCCACCCGAGTAAAAGGGACCCTTCTAAAATCAAGAACTATTATAGGATGGGTACACATGTTTGAACAATTTTCTTGATAATTAAAATAAAACATATATTTACTAGAAAATTCATCAGTACATCGTTTGACAACCAAGATGGTTAACGATGCCACCAGACCTGCTCAACAAAATATTAGCTTTCTAGGCTACCGACTGAGCTGCTCTATTTAAAATAAATTGTATCTTGGTCAAAATATAATGGTCACAGTTTCCTGCTAGTTAGGTGGGAGTTATACAATATGCATGGTTTTGTTTTGTGAAAATAAAAAACAATTTCCACATCAGTAAAAAGAAATTGTTTTATTTCCTGTGTTGCAGTTATTTTTGTTTTGTGCATGGTTTTTGAACCATCGTTGACCCAGACCATCAGATCATTTGGCCTGAAAATCATCTAGGCAATTGGTTGGTAGCGATCCACTGCCCAGGTGGTCAAATTGTTGATCCATTTGACCTAAACAATGGTTTTTTGTCTGTTTTTTTTTTTTTTTTCTTTTATTTTAAATTACAGCAGATGGTTGAACCATTGACTCAGAAACTGATGGCCAAAGCGGTACTGATTTCAGGTAAATTTTTAACACATTTTATATGAAACAAAATCATGCATTTTAATGAACATCCCTAGGTGGGTTCTTGATCGTTCGACTGAAACGGTTAAGAGGTATTTGACAGATTATCCCAATAAGCCTCTTGTATAGAGGGAAATAGAGTTTAAAAATCTGGGTAAACTTTGTCACCATGTCTGGCATTAGAGTAGATGTTTTCTCTACCAAGAAATGCAAACAATAATAGTAATAATAGCAATAAATAAATAAAATAAATGCAGAAAACTAGTAGCGATGGTAGCAGTAAGTTGGTCGTTGCCCATTAGGCACACTCATTCTTGCACATTTAAGAGGTTTAGTAGAGTCTGAGAATGCTTCTCAGACATAGTTCATACTCATTGGGAGTAAGTTATTGCATTTTTTGCACATTTAAGAAGTTTAATGGAGTTTGAGAAGGCCTCTCAAACTCAGTTCATACTCACCGGGAGTGAGTTATTGCATTTTTTGCACATTAAGGAAGTTCACTAGTGTTTGAGAAGGCCTTGTGAACCTAGTTGGTACTCACCGGGAGTGAGTTATGGTTTTTTCTTGTACATTAGAAAGTTCACCAAAGTCCAAAAAGGCTTTTTGGACTCAATTCATACCAACTAGGAGTGAGTTATTGTATTTTTTGCACACTTTGGAAGCTTACCATAGTCTAGGACATTCCTCAAACTCAGTTTGTTTGCACTAGCTAAGGTCTACATTCATCTATTTAAATTCTCTACTTAGGAAAGACCCAAGAATTGCTTAAGAACATCTACTGCCTAGAACCAGGTCATTTAATGTACTTTTACTCTGCTTGCATTGTTGAATTGTGGAATCTTCTATTAAGAGATCCATTGCTCATTTGTATGAACTCGATCAGTCTGTTTTGGCCTAACACCTTCCCTCTCTCCTCCCCGACTTGCCCGTACGGCCTTTGTCTTAGCATGGGAATCACAACAAATCAAAATTTATTTCAAATTCGAATATCAGGAGTCACATCACTCCAGGTGGTAGCTCCAATAGTATGAAATGGGCTACCTGTGCCCATAATATCCATTAAAGCATTGCCTAATTTTGTAATCAAAATTGTAATATTTCCAATAACTGCATCTGATCTAATCACAAAGGGTACATAGGAAGCCTGGGCAATGGCACTTGGGTGTGACTTGGATGATAAAATAAAATTAAAACCCTATAAATTGATCAAAACAAATCAATTGCTAAGACTCTTAAATAAATACTTCTTAAATCTTTTTTCCTAAAATTTTAGACGTTCTATAAAACCCATTGTAGGTTGCAACCCATATGGTCTATGCACCAATTACATCATCTAAGCATTATATGCATACACATTGTACACCACCTTACACAAACTTCACTAACATTCATTCCTTGCATGTCTTCATTCTCTCTAAAGTCTGATGTTCCCCACAAAAAGGATGACCATACCGATTTGAGATCCACTTAGAATCATTAAGAGATTGAAAAACTTCAAGAAGTAGTGAACCTGTTAACCTTCAAAGTTGATTGGCTAATCTCACACACAGGAGCGACAAATCCAATCTTCAAACCTCCCTTTGTCTCAAGGCCTATTCTACCTGTTCAACCATCCAAGAAAGAAGTAAAGAAGTTTACTCCGCTACCATGCCCACTTTCCTAACTTTTGCTCATCTTGGTTGAGAAATGATACCTTCATTTCCTGTCCTAGAAACCTCCCATGGATCCAAATAGTTCAACCAAAATGTTCTATGCTTATTATCAAAGACTGGGACATGAGACTGATAGGTGTTAGGAATTGAAGTATGCCATCTAGCGCCATATTGATGATAACCAATACAACCCTAAGCTTGAGCTTGTGGATATGTTGCCGCCTAAAACACTTTGCAATAAAACTTCGTTTTGTGAAAAAATGTCATTGTAGTCAATTTGTTACTTAATGGAAATTTGTATATTTTGTGTCATTTTTTAGTGCTTACTCCCGTTAAAGTAGAAAATTTGATTGAGTCCTTTTTACCCTTCCAATGTATTTGGATTTGATGGTTAAACCTAACTTGACTAAGGACTTACATCAAGTCATAGGGATGTGCTTATGAGAAAAGTTGATTGTCAACTAGAAGTTCAAAGGAGGAAATATTCGAAGAAGGGGATAACCTAGTTAGCACAAACAATGAATATGCATTCGAAGGGTAAATTAGAAGTACAAAGAAAAATCTACTTATGATAGCTCCTATCAAGCCTTGATTTAAACCAACAAAGTCCATAAAATGTACCTTTCAAGTTAGCATGGAATAAATGTGTCCTTAAAATCCAGTGTCAACTATTGATCAATTGAAGAGAGGACTGGAGGCCATCCTTGGTTGATTATTTCCGAAGGTCCCTTGGCACTTATTTTAACACTAGTTAGCCCATTTAAGTCTTTCATCAAAACCCTTCTTTTGATAAACCCTACAAATTCCCAAGGATGCATAGATCAAAGGGAAAAAGAAAAAATAAGATAAAAAAGGAAAGCAACACACACACACACACACAAAAAGAAAGTAAAGAAGGAAAAAAAAAGGTGTAGGAAACTGCGGATCGCACATTAAGTGTATTCGTGTGACACCTTGAGATGTACTTAGATTTAATTGATTAGGATGAGTTTTCCTAGTAGGATTAGTTATATTCTATCTTATCTAGGATTAGTTTTATTTTAATCTTATCTTTTATTGCCATGTAAGCATTAAAGTTCTTTTACAATTAGGAAACTACGTATATAAATTAAGGAGTGGGGTGGCTGCTTTATGCAATCTAACCACTCTCTTCTTTCAAAGCTTCTCCCATGAGTGCTCCTTCTCTATCTCTCTTATTCTCTTATTCTCTTATTCTTTTCTTCTTCTTCTTCTCTTTTATTTTCTATTCAAAACCTAAAGAGTCTCTGTAATCTTGTACGACTACTTGGTATTAGAGCCAAATTTAGGGCTTATCACGTGAGTTTGATCCAACCGGCCACATGAGAACTGCCTAGGGCTGGAAGAATAGAGAAAGCTCCCTTCGACTGATTCTTGGAGGTTATCTACAACAGCAGTCCAAAGATTGGATCAAATCTTTGATAACCAGGAAGAATCAGAGGAAGAGAAGAGGATCAAGATCAGTTCTTGATCAAGATCAGTTCTTGATCAAGACTAGAGGTGGCGATCAAAAATTCAGAAGAATTCTGGTTCAAGATCAGTTTTTTCCTATTCAAGACTGAAGTTTGATCAAAGTTTAAGAAGAATTATGGTTCAAGATCGGTTTTCTCTATTCAAGACTGAAGTTGATTATCAACAACAAAGTTTCTCAGAATTTTCTGGTAAGTTTTCAAGCCTTTCTTGAAATCAGTAGGATCTCTTGATATAAGAGGTACAGTTAAGAAAAAACCCTTCCTTTCTGCATTCCTTTCTGGGAGGTAATCAGATTTGTCTCCCTTGATTTTTCCTTTGCTCTTTGGAAGATCCAATAGTTTTTTTTTTTTCAACAGG